AAACTCTTAAAAACGGGACCATATAATCCGATCCCTAAAGATCCTTCACCTTCGGATTTGTCAAAAATAAAAAACTGCGATCAAATCTTCACAATCATTTCAGCAACTAAAACATTCACTTATCCATCTGTTGCGAATTGTGCCAGATTATATGCTCTTCCCAAAATCTAAAAGTGGTATTCCTTTCCGCCCTATTGTATCAAATTTAGGTACTGCCTCGTATCCATTAGTTAATATTTAGTTTCTAGATTTTCAACTCTATTAGACAATAACATTTATACATAAAAAATTCATAGAGTTTGTAAAAAAAGTTAAAACATTTCTCCTAGTAGTTACTCATGGTTTCTTTTGATGTAAAATCATTATTCACCAATGTCCCAGTGGAGGGTGCATAAGATGTCTAGAAACCAGATTTGCGAATTTCATTTCTCTGCATCGAAATTGATGAGCTAATTTTCTCTCACTCAACTCTGTTTGAAACAAAACTTTTGTTTTCCAAAAAATATTACAGCCAACTGAGGGATAGCCATGGGAGCCCCTCAGTCCCATCCTGGCTGATATCTCATGCATTATATGAATCAAATGTTTGAAACTTAAATTCCCGGCATGGTTCCGCTCGTAACGATACTTTTCCTCTTTTTGAAGGTAATAAAGATGATTTAAATAAGTTCTTTCAACAATGAATTCTATGATCTGCTATTCAGTTCACTTTTGAACTGAGACTTGCATTCTCTTCAGTTTCTCGACATTCTGGTCACACGTAACACATCCAACTTCAGTACTACGGTTTTACGTAAACCTCATCGGTTTTGCCTTCACCTCACTTTAAATGATGTCATCCGAATAAAAAAAGTTAGCTTCATTTATCCTATGTTTCCGTGCTCTCCTTTGCTCTCTAAACTAGCCCTTGATGAAGAACTAAAGTATTTAAAGCAATAGCTATTGATAGGGGCTTGCCACCCAACCTTATAATCAAGCAGTTAAAAAAATTCTTTCTCAACATACTAAAAGGCACACAATCTTGTTTAGGAAGATTAAAAATTCTGGTGTCATTCCCTTTTTTCATCAATTAGCTATAAAGTTTGCACAGATTTTGCAGAAATTTAACTTTCGGGTTGTTTATGCGCCATCAATAAAATTCCGAGTTCCATACTCAAGGGACCCATTCCGATATGGAATTTGGGGTTATTTATAGATTCATTGCCGTGAGGTTTATTTGGCCGTGTTTAGTTCTGGTTTTACCAACCGATGGTACTTGCTTATTTGTCCAGCTTTCTATCTTATCTATCATTATTCCTATCTGTTCATTTTTTTAGCTGAAGATGGTGGTTCGGTAAAACCATCGAAACTCCTGTAAAATGTAAATATTTGATTGGTGTTTCTGAATTACCATACTACAAATTTTGCAATCCATTCTTGACCCACTGACATAATACCTAACATTATAACTACATTTGACATAAAAATTTAATCTAAAAGCTTCAAATAGCCAATTGAGAAAAACAAATGTATTACTTATTTTCAATACAGTTTAGTTCAAAAAGATCATGACAAAATATGTGATACATATGAAACATTTAATCTCCATCAAACATCAAAAGACTAAAGAAGGACTGTGGCTTCTGATTCCAACTTCTGAAAACCTTTGATATGGCTGCTTTTGAGAACCTAGTGAGATTTGCTGTCTTCAAAATTGAGGCCCTGCTAAACGGGCACCAATAATAAGCACTTTTTCGAATGGTGAAAGATCATTCGTTTTTCCCATTTTACTTCATTCATCACGAAAAGTAGCCTTACACCTTACTTAAATTAGCATTATAACTATGTGTAACCCACATTACAAAAAAAATTGCATACTTCATCTCTAGCATACATTTAAATGGAAAATCTAAATGGTTTCTAATTCATTGGCCAGTGTGTGTATATATTTCATGAGTGCTATATAAAATTAATTTGTTTTTACTTGGTTAAAAGAAATTTTTAATTAGTTCTTGTTACAGAATAACATGTGCAAACAATTTTTTCTGAAAAGATATGCATGCTAATTTAAAATTTCCAGCAAAAAAAAAAAGCATATTCTCATTATCAGCTCATTTTAACTATATAAAATACTTTTTGAGCCAAAGAAATACATTTCAAGCCACTTATTTCAATACACAGAAAATAAAATAGAATATCACACTTTAAAAACTTTATTGGCAATATTTGCATTGGAACAAGAACAGAAAAGGGTATGCTATCTTACTATCTGTCCAACACTGACAAGAATCATCAGGCAAGGCAGTGTCAAAAAAGTAAGCAAGCCAGAATTTTATGAAAATATTTCATTGACAATGATTGAGCCCATTATAGCAGCGCATAATGCCACTATACATATTGGTGGTGATGGTAATACGTGCAGTTCTGAAATTTGATAGCCACAGTAGCTTCTGTTTGTTGTGATTAGTGTATGGAGACTTTTTTTTATATTATTTTAAAACGAATCAATGAAGAGTTTGCCTGGTAATGAAAAAGAAAGTTGCTGCTTTTTTTTTTTTTTTTTTTTTCAGAAAACTGGTATTCTGCCTAGTAATAGAGGGTGTAGAATACCACATTCGATGAAGTTAATTTGTGCAATTCTCTGGTTTTTTTTTTTTTTTTTTTTTTTTTTTTTCAAGTTAAAATAGGTCAATATGTACACGCAGTGCCTATTTCCTCTGTAATGCGAAAAATTCTGCAATACTCTAGTTTTTTTTGTTTTTTTTTTCTTTTTCAAGGTAATACAGACATTGTGCACATGGACAGAAAAAAGTTTGGTATTTTATTATGGATGTTCGCTGTATTTTCAATTTAGTTAATTTGCTGCTCTTTTGTGTAATTTTTAGTGTTTTATTATGATGTTGATTATGATTTTAATTTTGCTGTTGTTTATAAAATTTTCCCCACACTGCCAATTTAAAAAGTAGCTATGTTTTTACATGTTAGCTTGGCAAACAATTAGTCATCAACAACTGCCAGGTTTGAGGGAGAGTTGGGTGGATAATTCGAGAGTACCCAAATACATTACAATATAGAAAACACACTTAACTCAACAGTGGCCAGCAAGCAATGTTGATCTATTTCTAGATAAAAGCTGTCTGGCATGCATTGTGGCCCCATAATGAAAAAGTTCACTTAAAGGATTTTAATAACCTCTTTTAAAGCTATAAAACAAGTTTTTTCTTAGAGGTCCCATATACTTGAACACATAAAATTAAAGAATATGTTTCAATAAACATAAAATGGCACACTAATCACAAGCATAATTTTCTAGCTCTAGAGTGCTCAAAATTTAGCTTCAAGTGGAAAAATTGTTCCAAATATGTATAAAAGGGAAAAAAAAAAAAAAAAAAAACGGAATGTTTCAAATGTTGCAAAAGCAAGATCTTTCATGCTAAAAGAAAATCTGTCAAGTCAAAGGACAGATGCAAAATCATTAAAATGGTCAGTGTCAACTGCAAAAAGTGATTAGTGCGGATTTGAATCTTATAAAGACAAAAAAAAAAAAAAAAAAAAAAAAAAAAACATAATATGCATTGTCTTTCTCCACAACATGTTGCTGACTGCAGAACACACTGCAAAATTCTTTATGAGAAATGAGTACTTAAGTATTAACGCCACCGCAGCAAAAGTTGTGCTGATGCACCAATAAAGAACAGTCCTGTTGTTCGTGTGCAGTTATCTTTTGGATTTATTGTCACTGTTCTTAATAGAAGTAACTCCAACCTTCTTAATAAAATTATTGAAAACATTGCAGATGGTAACACAATTTATTCTGACAGTTGAAAAGGTTTCCAAACAAATAGAATAAAAAAGAAGGATTCCTACATGCTAAAGTTAATCATAAATACAATTTTATTGATCCTGATACAGGAATTTATACACAAACAGTTGAGAGAATGTGGGGCAGTGCTAAATGGAGGAACAAGAGACATAGGAGGACAGTAAGACATCATTTAGAATTTTATTTAGCAGAGTTCATATGGCGACAGCATCATGTCAAAGAAAACAGAGACTGTTTTGAATCTATGTTAAACTCTATCAGCCCACTTTCCACCGAAATCTGACTGACTACTTTGATTTTAAATAAAGTGTTTTGATTTTTTCAATTTAAATAAAGTGTTTAAATTTATGATTTGTCACAAAAATTTTAGATGTAGATTGGCAGCACTTAAAAGTCGAAAAATCTGCAGCTGCAGTGGCATTAATACATAAGTACCAAGAAATGTTTATATGGACAAAAACAGTAAAATGACAAATCTTGCGAACCCACAAAAGACGAATCTTGGGAGTACTTAAATGACTGCAAAGAAAGAGATCCATTTATTATCATCACTGAGGAGAAAAAATCTTAAAAATATAAATTTTTCTAAGGGATTTATGATTGTTGTTGGTTTTTCATAAAACGGCAAATTAAAAATAAATAGAGTGGAGAAAAATGTTAAGATCAACTCTACATGTTATCAAGAACATATTTTATTCCCAATTTTCAAATCTGAAATACCTTCTCTTTACTGACAGTGTGATAATCAGTAGAACTGCATCAAGACAAAGAAAGCAGCCACACATGAAAATCTACTATTAATTTCATGGAAAAAAATGGAACAAAAATGGGTATCAAGGCCCTAACCCTTTACTCATATCCATACTAAACCTTTTAATCTATCACCAACGTGTTTTTGAGCTTTTGGACTTTTAAAAAGAGACAACCTACAACCTTTAAAAACAACCTACAACCTCCTTAGACTTTGGAAAGCTGTTCAAGAGCAATGAAATAAAATACCTCTTTAAAGGCTTTGTCTTGCAAATTGTGATGTATAAAAATAGTGAAGAATAAGGGTTATCAAACAGAACATTTAAAACATAAAAATTTTAGGTAAAATATTTCTGCAATTGAGATGAAAATTGTCTAAAATATGAGCAAACAGCCTCAATAACTCTTGATGTCATGTATATACTCACAGATACACTTTTTTTTTTCATTTCATATATCTTCTAAGGAGTTTTGTGCTAATCTCCACAGCAACAAAATCAGAACCTTCTCACATGTCTCTTTTCAAATCTGAAAAGAAATGTTTATAAAAATACAAAAGATTTGTGTGTTATATTTAAAAATATTAGTATTTTCTGATTATCTGCATGGAAAGTCTATTCACTAGGCAAAGCACTATGCTGCCAAAATACAATAATTATGTGATAACCCAAGCATACATGCATAAGCACCAGATGAGTGCTGATCATTAATGTTCGTTATTTCACACTGATGACATTCATTAGTGTTAGTTTTTGCTGCACACTGACTTTTTTTCCCTGACAAGATAAACAATTGTAATGGGACAGTGGAGTTTGGTCGCTGATGAAAATGAAATAATGCATTCCTTTAAATATGATATTTTGCTTAACAGTAGAGAATACAATGCACTCTATGAAGTTGTACTTCATAAATGAATAAATTTTCAGAATCAAAATTTGTGTACCAATGCCAAATCTATGCAATTCTCCGATGATTTTTTTAAATGAAAACAAACTGTTGTGTACATGGAAAACAACAATATGTGCAATGCCAAGTACGTTCAATTCTCTGATGTCTTTAAGTGAAAAAGAGATTGCTGTATACATGGAGAGAATGACAGCATACAGCAGTATCAAGTTGAGCATGATACCAAATTTCTGGAATTCTTTGATCTTTTTGAAGCTAAAACAGATTGCTGTGTACATGGGGAGAACAGTGGAGGTGGGAAGATAAGTGTTTCATTATGGATGCATCTTGCATTTTTAACCTCAATTGCTGCAGTTTTATACAACAATTTTTTTTAAATGGCAGTCTTTTGCATCTTAGCTTACTGAAAAATTAGTTGCCAATGTTGTCGATTTTCTGGGAGAATGTGGATATTCAGGAAGTATGAAAATCTCTGAACTAGAAATATTTGTAAACATTTAATTACCTAAGCCAGAATTAAAGTAATTACTGAGTTATTTAATGATTTTTTTCATCATACAAAATGGTTTTAATTAAAGTAATAGTCAAAGATAGACAACTAATATTAAAATTTAAATATTACATAAGCACCAGAGGAGTGCTTATGCAATATTTTTTCTTGCCAAAAGGCAAGAAAATAATTTTAGTTTGAACAAACAGATAGCATTAAATTTGTTTTGTTAGTCTTCTATTAATCTTTAAATTTTTTTCTTTTCAGATTTGGCAGCTGACACATTTAGGTTGCTACAGAAACAAATTCTGTGTATTTTTATTTACAACTATAAGTTTAAAGTCAATTCGAACATGGGGTGTTAAATTAAATATTTTGTACATAATTTACTTTTTTTTATTTTCATAAAGGCAAAAAAGCAGTTGAGGCTCACAAAGATATATGTGAAATTTATGGTGTTGATTGCTATACAGAATGCATGTGTCAAAACCGATTTAAAACATTTCTTTCGGGAGATTTTTCGCTTGAGGATGATGAGATTTTTTCACTTGACAAATGTTTTGGCTGACCGTTTTAAATTAATGATGATAAAAATTAAAGCCATAACTGAATTGAATTGTCACACAATTGTGCAAGAGATTGCTAAAAGCTTAATCTGATCTTACACAGCAACTGAAAAGCACGTCTTTTAAAGAAGCTCAATATTTGGGTTCCACGAGAATTGAGGGAAAAAAAAATCAGTTAAATGCAATGAACCCCTTTGTAAAACCAATTATCACTGGTAATGAAAAATGGATCGTCTACAACAACACTATTTGAAAGAGATGAATCAATGCAAAGCAAAATGAATCAGCACAAATCATATTGAATGCTAAACTGCATAAGAAAAAGAGCCTGTCAATTTGATGGGATTAAAAAGGCATTCTGTATTTTGCGTCATCGTCAGGTGCTAGGGGCACTAGATCATCAAGGGCAGCTTCAGATAGAGCTGGGGTAGCTGCAGGAGGAGCTTCTGCAGAACGTTTTCGGCGCACAAGGAACATCTTGAAGGGAAGTTGTGACTGTTGTTATTTCTTCCGAGCAAAGATCTGCCCTTGTACAATGCCATTACATCGTCAATACAGTTATTGAATTTTACGGATCTGACAATATTGTCATCGATTTCTTGGGCCCTTTGTTTCACAGCTCTTGCAGGTTTTCCAAAGGTAAGGCCACGTTCTTCAGCTTTGTTGTCTTACCGTCGTCAGCTACCTCCCTCTCCTTCCTCAATCAGCAATCTTGTCATGTCGACAAGTTCCTTGTCGGATAGGGGGTTCGAGTGGCACTTAATCAGTGTGTTCACTTTATTTAAACATTGATTTGAATGAGCGCAGTCATCTTCGCTGGGTGTGAGCGCAGAGGTGGGGGATATGTCTAGGCCAATCAGCTTGTGAGTTTTCTGAGTCAGTAGGGATATGAAATGGCAGGATGCTAGCCAGCCAATCAGAGAAGTGGATTTTGAATTGTGTGGACACTCCCTACCTTCTACTGCTATGCGGGTGACTTTTGCGTTATAATTCCTCAATTTTGAATTTTTGATGAATATTTTTGAACAATCCGCGATGTACTGATACCACGATAAATAAACCGCAAAGTAGCGAGGGATGACTGTACATCCATTCTGCTTAGTAAATAATTTGATCTCAACTGCACATATATGCTGTGCTCATGAATACACTTACTGCAGTTAAACTACATTATTCATTAACCTTGTAAGTGTTTGCTTAACACAAGGATTTTAATTGAGGTTGTATGTGACCACACGAATCCATGTGAAAACCACTTCTCACAATACTACTAATTGGCAAATCAAAGGATCACGATTAATTTTTCAAACCTGATGCCTACTGTAAATACGCATACACATTCTTTGTCGCGTTCGCTAAATAATTCTAAAACTCAATATTCAAATCAAATAATAAAGAAATTTTGCTTACCTGTCAGACGCAGCATTGATTCTCTCTTTTTGTCATTTTATCCTACTTTATTGACAACACAATTAAATACATTTACAATAAAGAAACGCACATAACTTTAGTTAGTGTTTTGCGTTCGTGTTACATCTTTCACAGTCAGCAATGTTCTGAACTACTCAAAGGAATTCAGGCGCACACAGCACCATTTGGTTCAAATACAGTTTCTACACCCACTAAACAGAGTGTTAGGTGCAAGTGATTTAATAGCAATAAATGCATTCTTTTTAGAGAGCATTTATCTTTTTCCATTTGATATCTAATTAGTATATTTAAAAATATATTTAATTTACAACATATCTCGCTGATATGTTTATGGAATGGTGTTATGAACATTTTTTATCCAGGTAACCTAAAATAATAATCTGAGCACTTTCCTTTTCAATTATGCACAATTGCAAATTATAAGTCTCATCAAATATTTTACTATGATCTATCCCGATGCCAAACATATGCTCATGATGACACTGTGCAGATGAAAAATATGTATAATACTCTTATTTATTATTACATCATTATAAGAATATGGTACTTTCTGATTATCCGCAAATTCCCTTTCCGAAAATCACCAGCTCACTGATGACTTTGCAGACAATACACAAACATTTTTTTTTTTTTAACCAAGCTAATTTATAAGGCAACAGTGGTGCATTACGAATTCCAAACTAGAGCAATCAATCAATAAAATTTTAAAAGAATAACTTACCTTTCTCAAGAAATCTTTTTTTCTGTTGTTTCTTTTATATATACAGCAATATGTCTTCGCTTTAAATTGAACAACTAATAATTTAAAAATTAAACGAATTTGGCTCAGTACAACTTCCATATAACACATCACACAAAACAAACAAGTGCCCTGCATATACCTGAGTTGCCATGTAAATAATTTTTGTATGACATGGTGGATTGCTATACAACTATTTTGGCCACATACTACTTTGTCTCATGAACACTTTTTTGTAACTTTTCAAAAGGGTATGGATAATTAGAAAGTATGGTCATACACTATATCAAACTTGTTCTGGTGCTGATTTTATTCATATTAAGCTATGCTTTGTCAATCCTATGCATATAGGCCAGCCTCATTTCACTGCTCCACTATACCATCAATATACTTACGATTATAATTTTCACAAACCACATATGACTTGATATCACAGGGGGTTATTTCCAAAATTAGAAGTGCTGGAGCCAGAGTCGTAGCTAGGGTTTTCAGCGCCCAGGGACAACTGAAGATTTCGTGCCCCCCTACTGCTTGCCAAGGACGGAAAACATTTAATTCTAAAATGTCATGACATCAGTTTGCCGCCCCTTGGATTCTGCGCCCGGGAACAAATGCCCCCCTCTAGCTATGCCCCTGGCTGGAGCCATATGGAAGACCATTAAGCAAGGTAATCAAACTTAGATGAATAAAGTAATAAATAGCAAAAAAAATTAACAAAATTTTAAGGAAATGAATACAGAATTAAAGAAACAAATTTGAAGTCTTCAGATTTCCTATTATGCCCAAAGTGGTGCCAATGTGTTTTTTTTTTTTTTTTTACGTTTTTATGTGTTACCTTTATTTATTAAATGCCATGTTCTTTGCACTTAAACTATAATATTCAGTTCAACAGCAGTATCACAAAACATTTAAAACAGCATACCTTTAGAATTTCCGATACACAGTCTCGCACGCTGGAGATAAAGATATTTTTTCCTCCACAGTGTTGCCATTGCTCGCCTTGAAATCATAGTTTATAAATCAAAAATTCATTAACGTTTTACAAAATATGAAATAGATTATTAAAAAAATTCCAAATTTCAGCCTCCAGAAGCCCATATTCAAGTGGAGGACTATGTTATTCAAAATTTGTTGTCTCTAGGTACCATTGCAAATTCTGCATTATTTATTTGTTTTAAATATAATGCAGGGCTCTAATATTTGGTGGCAAGAATTTGAAAAATGAAACACCATTTATAGTGCAAAAAGTGAGCAAACACAAAATGACAAAACGAAATTAATAGCCCTTCTGGGCAAACTGCTCCTTTGGGCTAAAAATATGTTAAATTAATAATAAACAGTTAAATAGTAAATTAAATTACAGGAGGTCACCTTGGAGTTTATAGAACGATGATTTTACTTCAAGAAGTACCAGAGCTTGACTCCAAATGAATTTAAAACCTTTCATATCAAATATTCCCTCTTCAACCATATTCTGCTACAGGAACAACAAAGTTTTGTTTTTGAAACTCTTTAAAATATGCTCCACTTCATAAATTGACTATCTAACTAATTTATATAAGATTCTGTCAGTATTTGAAATTCATATTTCTCGTATGTTTTGAAAGAAAGTTGATTAGGATTGCTAGATTGCTAATTTAATATCTCCAGATTGAAAGATATTCTGTATAATTTTCATTAAGTTCAGCAAATTTTGGAAGCAATTTGCCTTTGATTATTTTTAATGTTTATTACAATACTATTTTTATTTTACAAAACAGCTTTGATGGTAACCCAAATTATCTTTCCTTTTGAATTCTGCGATATTCTAAATAATGTTTTAACATATCAAAAACTTACATACTTTAAATTGCTAAGTTATGTAAAATTCGGCTAAAGTGCAGAACCGCCCACTTATTTGTTTGGCACTTTTTACAAGAGTAAGAATTGGATTTTTGTCAATTTTCTTTGACCTTTTAAAAGAAAATAGGTTGATATGTACATGGGTACAGTCAAGAGTGTGAATGCAATTTTTGTGCAATTCTGGGATGTTTCTTTAAATGAAAATAGGTCAACGTATACATATATACCGCATATGTACAATTCTTAAAAAAGCGCCAAGCAGTGGGCGATTCTGCACTTTCACCAAAGTTCCTACTGGGTTTCTCTTTCTTCTTCCAAATCAAGGACTATTTACAAATTTCTAATATTCCTTAAACCAAAACATCAAAATAATACAAATTCTTTGAAGTTTTATCAAAGAATGCAAAGGCTTTACTGCTTCAAAGCAAAATATAAATCTGTGTAATATTTGATGTTTTTATTTGCAGTCTCATTAGTTTCTGATCACTTTAGTGGCAGAATTTGCCTATACTAAAGTGAAAACACTATTTTCAAAGCTCAACATTTTATTTTTGAAAAAAAGATGTAGCATAAAAAGAACAGGAAAATACAAATATCAGATAAAACTCCTTTTTTGACAATATTTTATATTTAATATGACAATATTTAAATGGATTAATCTTTAGATTATGGTAACTTGGCGATTTTTTGGCGACCAACCCTGCTAGTTTTTGTTTGTACGCTATTTTGTTTTCACGAAGTAAAAGCATATATATATATATTTTTTTTAACTCAACATTTTTTTCCAACAATCTGCTAGCCGAATTATGCTTATGCTGGAACTTTTATGGAACAAAAGTGCTTCATCATGACGAAGATTAGGTGCGAAATTGGGAGAAAGTGCAGAATCACAAACTGCTTGCCAAGTTTTTAAGAACTGCACATGCATGATATCGATGTACACGTCAACCTATTTTCACTTAAAAAAAATCCCAGAATTGCACAAAAATGGCATTGTGCACACTCTTGACTTTATCCATGATGTACACTGCTAAAGTCCTAGCTAGTAACCTTTATCACTTACCAAAATGTCGCCAAACTACATGTTACCATATTCCAAAGATTAGCCTTTAAATGCATCCATGATGACAGATTCAAGAGGGATGCCCATCTCACTTTAAATTTGGGGGCTCATCACTGTTAAGTTAAGCACAGAGTGTGATAACTATTTTTTGAAAAATTAATTATTCATTTGGAAGCCTCTTACATTTGTGACTTATATGCCTCCATAAATCTACCTCTGCATATTCAAATACTTTTGAAAGGTACTTTATACAATAATGTGCTTTATTACTCATAGCTATACATTATGTATTTCATTTCAATGAAAGTCATTTATTATACAAGTCGGCATACATTTATCAAGTTTCTAGATGTACAAATGATTACTTGGCATGGATTACCAAATGCCTATTCAATGTACTCTTTCGAGAATATGATTTGTTACAAATTTCATAAAGAAAATGTTTCCCAGCTATGTGAATAAGTACATGCTTTGTTAAGGTACTTCTTTCTGCAAATGACTTACTGCATACATCACAGAAGTATGGATTCTCGGGAAAAGTGCAGAATCTCCCACTGCTAGGCGCGTTTTTAAGAACTGCACAAACTCGGTATCCATATAAACATCAACCTATTTTCACTTAAAAAAACATCAGAGAATTGCACAAACTCGGCACTGACTTTGTCCATGTACACATCGATCTATTTTTACTTAAAAAGTCAAAGGAAATTGATTAAAAATCCAATTCTTCTTACTCTTGTAAAAAGTGCCAAACAAAGCACACCAAATAAGCGGGTGATTTTGCACTTCCCCCCTGGTTTCTCACTTGTATGAGTTACATATATGTGATTTTAAGTTGCACCAATGTACAAATGGCTTGCCACATACATCACACTCATATCGTTTGCCATATGTATGGGCCCAAATATGTTTTTGTAAGGAATCTGACCGTACATACGACTTGTCGCACACACCACATACATATGATTTCTCAGTGTGGATATGCATATGTATTTTAATTTACCTTGATGATCAAACTGACATATTACATGCTATGCAATCATGACGATCTGCATTCATATATGTATACTTAAGTTCATTTAAAACAGCCAAGTGTATAAACGATTTGTCACACGTTACACACATGTGTGGAAGTAAATGTACGACTGTTCAAGGTCCTCTTGTCTGAAAATGTCCTGGGTGAATCTTTACATTATGGTAACTTGGCGAATTTTTGGCGAAAATTTGGCGACCAACCCTGCTATAGCAACCTGCTAGTTTTGTTTTGGACTCTATTCTGTATTCACGAAGTAAAGGCATGTTTTTTTTTTTTTTCACTCAAAATTTTTTCCAACAATCTGCTAGCCGAATTACGCTTATACTAGAACTTTTACGGAAAAAAAATGCTTAATTACGACGAAGATTAGATGCGAAATTGAGAGTGTCTGCTTGCCGCGTTTTTAAGAATTGCACATACACGGTATCCATGTACACGTCGACCTATTTTCTCTTAAAAAAACATCCCAGAATTGCACAAAAATGGCATTGCGCACACTCTTGACTTTATCTATGTACACATCGACCTATTTTCTTTTAAAAAGTCAAAGAAAATTGACAAAATCCAATTCTTCTTACTCTTGTAAAAAGCACCAAACAAATAAGTGGGCAATTCTGCACTTTAGCAGCGAAATTGTTTCTAAGTGCTTATTAGCTAAAATCACGATCAGAATTTTCCGGAAAATGTCACATTACATGTGTCAATCTCTCATTTCTCTGAGACAAAATAATCTGTGATTCGAACTGTGTACTTCTCATTATTGTTAAAGTCCTAGCTAGTAACTTTTATCAGCCTTACCAAAATGTCGCCAAACTACCTGTTACCATATTCTAAAGATTAGCCATGTCCTGCAACAGATATTACATACAAATGATTTCTCTTCCCTGAAAGGTATGCATGATTTTCTTTAAAATTATATGTTATGAATGCACATAAACTTGATATACTGTTTTTGCATACGAAATGCCTACTTGTGCATTAGCATGCATTTACTATTTATGAGATTTTTATCACATTTATAAAAATATATTTTTTAAAAAATATTCCCTTTTATATACAGCCTATGATTTATATGACATTTTACTAGCCTAAAATTGTTGTCTAACTCAGGTTAGCTAACTCAGTAACATACATAAACAATATTGTTGTCTAACTCAGGCTAGTTAACTCAGTAACATACATAAACAAATTTCATAATTAAACATTTGGCTCATGATGGCTGTTGCATAAATGCAAATACTTTCATACACAGTTCTATACAATATCATGGTTTTCCACTATCGGTTTTTAATACAAAATGTACTTATATGTCTAAAAACGTTTCGCAACAAATACACAATATATCCAATTTATATGAAACTACACACGTTAGGTGTACTTAGAGTTCCAATTAATATTTTACACTATTTTACAGTCGTTTCAAGATCTGCGAATGAATTAGCTTTTGCATTAAGAACAAAAACTTCGAGCACGTAATACACAATAAAATCGTAAAATGAAAATTCACTTTCTATACAGTTTTAACTTCGTAAATTATTCTACTATATTACATTTTACTACTATGATCAAGTACACGGTGCACACAAAGTTTTTTTTTTTTTTTTTTTTTTTTTTTTTTTTGTGTCTGTAGGAAATGTGCATATACTTACTTTCAGATGTTCACAAATATTTAACATAGATTCAGGCGGTCAGTTGCATGAAGTATAACTTATGTGGCATGTTTCGCTTATATGTATTTAATAAACACATTACAGATTCTGAGAGTTTCATGCTTAAAACTAATGTGTTTATTTTGGTATTACTGAAATATCTTCCATCTCAAACATCAGAAAACATAATAATTTCAAAACGGTATGATATTATTATTTATACATACGTCCAACATTAAATTATTTAACTCTCACAGAAATAACTCAAATACATGTTTTAACAACATCACGATTATGTTACCACTCTTTCAAAGTCGGTATTGAATGTTTGGCGACATTTTTGGCGTCAATATTTCATACGCGTTTATCTCCTACTTTTAAAAAGACCGATATTTACAAGGAAGGTCTTCCTTTAGTTCTCAATTTTTCTAAAAACATAAAAACATTGCATATGATTCTACTCATTGAGATATACAGAAAAGAAGTAGCAGCTAAAAATACGTAAGTACGCAGTTAAAATATTGTAAAATATAATGAGGTTTGGCGATATACGTAACAAACAGTTTTGAAAATTTGGAAAGTCGCCAAGGCGGTAGAATTTTGCAAGAAAACAAAACTGCAAGTCAACCAGCGTCCGAGCGGTAAAACCGCTGACAGCAGATAGCTCACAGCCGGTTTTAACGACATCGAATGATTTCGTTGTGTGATTATGACAAAGCCTCGAGGGCTATCCAAAGAACGCCTACGTACAATACAGATTCTTTGGACACCGAAGGACATTCTTTGGGTTACCTTCGCGGAGAACTAGCTTGTAAACACGTTACACATGGAGAAATCCATGAAAATGTCCATGTAGCCATCCCGTTCGCGAGATTTGAACCTCGGACAGAATTACCAGTTCTCAGCGACCTTACGAAAAATGCTGCAAATTTTTCTTCTGCTTAAATTAATTTTTTAGATAAATTGCAAGATACTCTCTTTTTTTTTCCGCTTTATATCACGCCAGAACTCCAACCCTTTTTTACCCTCAGATCTCGAAGTATATTATTATATCTTTGGTGTTCGGTGTCCTATCCGCAGATACATTATTTGACGAAACATTTAATAATTAATTCAACTTTCAGTTGAATTACCTAATTCATTTTCTGAATTGATGAGGAATTTTTTCTTTCAGTCTGTCGTCTATAATGTTCCTTGGACTTACGAATTATTTTTCTGATATGAGTTAAATATCTTCTTGTGAAGTTTGCTTTAAATGCTTGACTACATAATTTGAAACAATACCCAAACCATTATTTTAGAGGTCAAACAACAAAAATCAGCGTTATATTTGCAAATTTTTCACGACTAGTTTCGATGGTTTAACTATTGAACCATCCCCCTCAGGTGCCGAAGTGCAAATGAACGAGATAAGATATGGTGATAAGGTAATCAATCAACATTTATACACCTCTCCTGCGAACAGTGACGCAACTGAGGGAATCGACCTACTGTGAACCTCCATATCAGGCAGGGGGAGGTCGTGGCAGGTGGGCCACAAAACGAATTCGACTCTATGGGCTGGAGTCGTGGGGCACAAATCCAAAACTTAGCCTCAGCCCAATTTTACGAAGACCACTTGGGAGTTTTAAACTAATCCTTAATGTCCGAGGAACCGGTCCCACACCGGATCTTATCCTCAGACTGAATAACTCCAAAAATCCTCCGCTTACTGGGCCGGGCCCGAGGGGTCACCACTCCCTGTTCTCGGCTTTTCGACGGAGGCGTGACCTGAAAACCTGATGGACTTGACCGGTCGTTAAATGCTCCCGCCAGTACTACACGGGCAGAGCGTCCCATCAGGACATTGCCTAGCTAACTCGGTGCCGTCGTACAACCGTGGTGCCGTCCCACACCAAGCTACAGAACCATCTGGTATACGTCTTACGCCTTTCCCCCGGGGTCCAGCCATACAAATGACCCAACCCCGGGCTCTGGAACCGCCAGGCTCGTGATAAGATAAAAATGGCTGGAATGGCTAAGCTACTGGCTGAGGAAGATGGTTCGGTAATTATACCATCGAAACTAGTCCTGGAAAATTTTGCAAATATAACACTGATTTAAAATAATCGTTGTTCGACTTGTTATTTTAACCTAAAAAACCCAAACCATACTGTATGTTTTTATACCCTGGCTGCCTCAGTTAAATCGCCACGTAGCAATAAAGGAACTTTTCTAGATCAACTACTTCACATTTTGGCAAGCAATTATCCGAATAAATTGGGACCGGATCTCATTTGGATAATTGGATTTTTCCCGAAGAAGGAGTCTATATACACTTTAATTAATTACTGTATGTACTGTATGTTGAAAGTGGGAGAAAAAGTTACTTTTAAAGAAAAAGAGGTTTTAATTAATTCAAACGAAAAGGAAACGCTTTTACGTACATGTTATATAACTTGTAAGTACTGAACAGTACTTACAAGTGCTGAAAGTCATTGCTTGCTGACCATCTCGGTCAGAATAAGCTGTCTGACTGTCTTCATCCGTTTTCGGACAGCAGAGTCGCGCATCCGTTTGAGAATGAGAAGTTGCTTGTGGTCCCACTCGGGCTCACGCTGCATCCACTTCAACACAGTTTAAAGGACGGCAAACGCTTCACTAGCTGATGGTCCCTGTGTGCTTCAACTTTGACATTAAGGTCATGTTCTTCTCTCACACTTTTAATAAGTTCAACATAATTTCTTCAAGAACTCCCATCTTCATTTTCAGGCAGTGACACGAAGTTTAGAAGTGTTGGTTTGCTCCTTTAATGTTTGAAATAGTTGATTATCCAACACCGTACATCTCAGCCAACTGTTTACCCATAACTCATTTATCTAATTGCTCTATAATTTTTAGTTCATCCGCTTACGATAACACAATATGTTCTCTGTTAGAAGCCGTGGTGAATGACGAAACGCACTTACAGACAAAACAGCTCAATGTAATCAAAACAAACAGTAACAGGTGGGTCAGACCGGCCAACTGGCGACGTACGACAGTACGGTAACCAGAGTCATAGCTAGGGATTTCAGCGCCAGGGACAACTGAAGATTTCGCGCCCTCTTCTGCTTGCCAAGGATGGAAAACATTTAATTCTAAAATGTCGTAACAGGAGTTTGGCGCTCCTTGGATTCTACGCCCGGGGATAGATGCCCCCTTTCCCCCTCTAGCTACGCCCCTGACTGTAGCCAGTAATAGAACTGAACTATAAGGCGGTGACTCATCATCTCAATAGTATTTTTAAATTCTTAAAGCGATTCGGATAATCGAACTTCGGATATTTGGAGTTGTACTATACCATTACAGCAACCCTGTAGACTGGTCCACTGAACGATTTCAATATTCTTCTCGCCTTACTAATTTTCTGCCATATACCCTCGGAATTGAGTGTAGTGTGTGATCATCCTGGCTCCTCCAGCGTAATGTAGTTAAATAATATGTTCGTTAATGATTCTTACTATTAAACTGTCAACTATTCATTGTTAACTTTACGATTGACATCAGTTAATTGATTTTATTAATTCATTTCTTTCACGGAGGTCAGAATATATAGAGATACCCTTTTCACTGGTGTAATGATTACACGCGAACAGGCATCTAAGCTGTGTAAGCCTCATCCTGGGTGGAACATGTAGATGGTAAACATATCTTTTTGTAGTAGCATAGTAAAAGTGCTGATACGGAAAAACTTCTCCTCTTGAAAAAGTTCGTAGTGACGGAGAATAGCGAAAGCAGTAGCCGATTATTGTAGTGGATGTGATAGCAATTATTATCAAAATAAGGTATAAAAGTTGGAAAAGTGCTTGCTGCTGATGGGGAATCCGTAGTTCAAATGACCGTGGTTGATTAGAGACATACCCTCCGCGCAGTGCAAGTTAAGCCAAAAGGGGGGGGAAAGTATGCTCTTAGTAGTCGTGGCTTAGAAAAACTGACACACTCTTCAGCCAATGGGGCAGAATCTAACCACAGTTTCATTCCCACCAGTCGTAAATTAAATACCATACATTCATCGCACTCTTTTTTTGACTTCACTAAAACTTTAATTTGGCACAACAATGAAAAAATTAGTACCTTTTACAAAAAGATGAATATACATTAAAAAAGAGACATTCTTTAATAAAAAACTGATGTAGCAAAACTAAAGGAGGTAATTTTAAACGCTATTAATCCTGAGAAAAAAAAAAATAAACTTGAAACCACCATTTCAGTTTATTTCTACATTTTCTACATTATGTAATTGCAATAATTTCTATAACATGTAACCAAATGCTATCATTAATGAATGCTAGCATTCAAAGTATTGTGAGCAAAAAAAGGTTAACTAAGTACTCGAAGCATAAATTGATTATACTTTTGATAGCATCTTTAAACAAATTCAAGGAATTCCAATGGGAGGTAATTTTTCCAGTTCTGTAAGTGAATTATTCCTTTTTACAAAAGAATTGACCTTTGTCCGTTCACTCAATAAAGAAGAACATAAATTTTACCAACACATCTATTGTTATATTGATGATATCATAGCCTTTAACAACCACAGCAAAATAGAAGTTGCTAATATTTACCCCACTTGCTTAAAACTAAATAATACAAATACAGTGCAACATAATGTAGTCTACCTTGACTTATATATTATTGATTACAATTTTATAAAAGTTTACGACAAGAGAAGAGAATTTACTTTTTTACACTAAAGTTAACCAACTGGAATTCAAATATTTCCAAAAGATTCATCTTAAACACAATTTATTCACAGCTACTTAGAATAAAAAGAATATGCAATACCACAAAACACCTTCAAGAAGAAATACTTTACTTCGTGACAATTTTGAAAAATAACCTTATTCCTCATAAAATAATTAAAAATACCTTATAAAAAGCTGGCATTAGCCTTATCAATTTTTAGATTATTTGAGTTAGAAACTGAAATTTTTATACTTAAAGCCCAATGTGACGGTATAAAGTGGATGGCTGATTCAGAGAATCTAATGTAAAAATGTACAGATAATTCTTGTCACTACATTTTCTTTCCTCCAAAAGATTTTGGCACAATACTTTTAATACTATTGTTTTAATATTTTAAATTACTTTGATGGCCAATTCTACTTTTATTAACAAATCGGGCCTTTTCGTTTTTCATTGTAGCTTGATCGCCCTCTAGCTTGAAGAATTACGACTTTTATTAGCAAATGACATTTTTCCTTTTACTCTTACTTTTGTGGCCATGTTGAGTAATTTTTACTGAATTAGCCATTTCCACATTTTGGAAGCAGTTTTATTCTTCTAACAACTTGACTGACGCCATTTTGAATTCTTTCCATGTCTTTTCGAGTCTTTTTAACTCAACCCCTTTTTAACTCGGGGAGTACGAGTTTCAGCCAAAGGACAATCTAATCGCATTGGCTGTTACGCAGTGACATTGTTTCCCCCGCCTACGTCACACGACGAGAGGGATGGCTTTGAAAGACACAGAGGGGATTACAACCTCTTTTCAACTTTGCTTCGCGTTCAAGAGGACAGCATAGCCACAGGTCTGTTTTTTAGGTTACTTTTTTGTGTTTTTTTTTTAAATTTTTTCTTGGTCTTAGCAAGACCCACGGCGTTTGTTTTCATTTGAATTTAATTTCAGATCTATAAAATTCATAAAGGTTTAATTCTTTAAGCTTGCAGGTCCAGCCCGTACGTTATTGTATAGTTTGACTAATAGCAGACCGCTATTTATTTTATTTTTATTTTAATTTTAGCTGTACATCGGAGTT